GATTGCCCCAACCCAGGTGCAGCCCTGATCCTGGCTGTTCTCTGTGGTTGTACATTGTCCTAGTACCCAGGCTGGTAGGCAGGCTACACAAGAGTGACCCAGATTCGAGGGTGAGCCTAAGTTTATGAGAAATGTGAAGAGCTGTTGCTTCAGCTCACACCCTCTTTGAAGTAAGAAATACTTGCCTGCTTCCCACCAAGTATCACTTCTGAACTTGGATCACCCAGCTGAAGATAGTCTGCTCTGATGTAAGCTGCCTGATGAGAGGTCAGAAGAGTAAAAGTGAGTTAAGAAAAGCAACTTAAAGGAGGACTCAGGTCAGTGTGAGCTGCAGCAGATCACCCTGTAAAACACCTCTGCCATCGAATACCTTCTTTAAGAAAGTTCGTATGTTACTTACACCATCTTAAGTTTTCCTGTACACCAATAAGGACTATGAAACCATTAGTGTAAGGTCATACAATTCACACATCACTTAGAAAAGTCTCCTAGTAATACTTGGCTATGTTTAGACGTCCTTTGAGTAAAACACAACATAAGAAACCTTGATGTGCATGTTAACATCTGGAGTGGGAAGGACACACATAATCTGTGCAGTAGACTCAGACTTCCTCAATAGAGACATATGACCTGCAAAGCTACAGTGAATGAGGTGTCGTGGTGTTAACGGGTCCACTCTCTCCTTACGTCATAATTTGGTTTTATGTTTTATAGGAGTTATTTGTGGAAGGGTAGATTAATTCTTTTCATTAGTTTGGCTATTTTTTAAATGTATGTAATATTCTTTAGATATTATAACCATGTCTTTCATTGGTTTTTGTCCTGACTATTGAATTTGTCCTCTTCAGGTTTTTGTTTGTGGCTTCTGAAAGCTAGTTTTTAGCATGGGTGGGTTTCCCTGCTGGCTCGCTCTTGGCTGTAGAGCTGTTCTGTTCGTCTCTGTTCATGCCATACTCTCCTCAGTCTCGTGTTCGTATCGTCTCAGCGTGCACAAGCGGTGCACTGAACTATGCAGCACATGCCTGTCGTCGTCGTCGTCGTTGTTCCACGTTTTCTCCCCTGGACAGACAAGCGTTCGTGGTGATACTTTGTTTTAGCACAGCCTTTTCATTTTGTTTTTCGTTTGTCTTGGAGGGGTGGATTTGATTCTTGACTGCTTTTGTTTTGTAAGTGCGAAGAAGGCAGTTCAGCATCCGTAGCTGAGAAAGATCTGGGGTTGTCCGTTTTTGGGCTGTGGAAAGCCCGTGCCCTGGGCAGGGGAGGGCGGCTGCCCTGTGCCAGGGGAGCGGAGCGCTCGTGTGGCAGGTGGGCAGAAAGCAGATAGACAGAGCTGGGGATGAGCGAGAACCTGAGGGAACAGAATGAACGGAGCTGAGGCGAGAAGCAGATGTCACAGCACATCACCACCTCGCCACGCCGAAGCCCGTCAAGAGGAGTTTGTAAGCATCGCAGCAGGGAGGGTTCTGAAGGAAGAAGCTAACAACTATATTGTTACCTCTGGCAAGTGGCTTGATTCAAATGAAATGATCTGAATCACAAAATCTGCTTTCCATCATCTGTGACTGCAAACCCCTGATGGGATATGAAGCAGTGTTCCTCAAAGACAAACGGCAGTTTGGAGTTCAGTACTTGCTGCAGTACGGTTATGTGGTTACTAACGGCATGAAGTGAAAAGAAAGGAGGGACAGGGCCAACATGCCCGTTTGTCTGACATCTGGCTAATGGCATGTCAGCTGACAGCAAGAGATCACAGTTTGCCTATGTTTGCTCTTTTATCTATCAGTAATAGACTCTAATTGAAAATCCCCAATAAATTAACATTTTGCAGAGAAATTGCAGGACTTTGAGGCTTGTTAATGCTTTTTAACTCCAGAGTCCCATTCAAGTCAAGCTCAGAGCAGCAGTGACCATAGTCTTTATATGAAAGTTGTGTAGCATCCAGAGGGAATTTACTGAGAGTTTTGAGAGAGGCATGAGTTAATAGTAAGAGCTAATATTCCTGGGGGCTAGAAAGATAATCACCACAGACTCTGTCTTCTGGTGTTTCAGATTTTGGACTGGCCCTTCTTTAAATGTCACATTTGTGCGTGTCATTTCTCTTACAGTTATTATGGTGAAGCATACTTAGAGAGTCAAGGTCAGCTATGGCGAAGAACCGTCCATATGAATGATGAAGAGACGGGTCTTGTCTAATTGTCTTTGTGCCCAATGGGATCTGACAGGTGACAGAAACCAGTGGAATGAGGTCAGGCAGAGGAACAGTGAAGATGGGGCAACAGAAAAACACATGTAACAGCATTTATCTTACCAGTATCAATCAGGGGTCATATGGTGGACTCCATCCCAGCAAAATCTGACTGTAAGGAGAGATGAAAAGAAGATAAAATGGCAGTCTTTCAAACAATAATGGACATTTTTTCTGTCTGTGGGAGAAAGCCTGGAGGTAGTTGATGAAGCAGTGGATAGAGAGATGACTAGGAGTTGTTGGCATGTGTGTATGAAGTAAACCTGGGAAATGGGGCAGACAGCAAAGCAGAATCTCAGAAATGTTATACAAAAAAACCTGCTAGAGAGATGGCTAAATACTGAATTACATTAAACTATGCTGATTTTGTCTGTGGTGCCAGGGACAATGAAGGAAATGTGGGAGGATCAATGTTGTTAGAAAGGAGATGAAAAGAAATTACGTCCACAGTTGAAAGAGGAGCTGATGTGTTTAATAGATAACAAGATGGACCTGAGAATAGGATAGTGTTTTATGTATTCCTAAGATATTAGCTTCAGTATTTACATTGCCAGTGATACAGCTGAACATATGGAAGAAGCGTTCATCTAAGAAAAGCACACTTGAAAAATGTTTCAGCTCTGTAACCCAAAAATTGCCACTTGCTTCTTGTAGAGTTATCATCACATTAACAGAATCTTTCGCACGGTTCCTTATTTATTTAAAGTGCTCACTGTCATTACCAACGATACTTTGTGGGCTGCGCATCCACAGGGTGATTGAAAGTACTTTGTGCTGCTTAGGGAGAGGGAAATGGAGGACAGAGGGCAGAAAAAAAAATATTTTTAAGTTCTCGCAATTTCTGGATTTTATTTTGAGTGAATGAAGATTAAATTCTCCCCCTAGGGAATGACCAGAACTCTTCAAACCTCAGAACAGCCTGAGCAGATCCCCTGGGCCCTTTTAGATTTCAGTATTAACAATTTATCATGGTCGTAAAAGCAATGTGCAGATCTACATAGATTTGCATATATTATTTATTTTCTAACTACACACTATGCAGTCAGCAAAAATAGCATGGAATGCTTGCGTCTGTGCTAAGAAAAATTCCTTCAACAGCTTTCTGCTAAGTATGCAGGTTGGAAGCTTCCCATTTCATTTCTGAAGCAGCATGTACCTGAGTGAACTCAACTTGGTGTCTCTTAGGGAGGGATCCATCTGCGGGAAGTTCAGGCATCTGTAGTATAAACCTGTGCATCCTTGCTAGTTGTCTGCCTTCCCTTTATGCTTTATGGGGATAAATGGCCATTTCCAGGATGTGATTTATCTGATCCCAAAGGATAAATATGGTAAAATAGTTAAATGAACTGTACTGCTCAATGACGCGGTTTCCAGTGGTGGTAGGTACCTGCGTTGTACAAGACTGCAGTTAGCTGAAATAAATCCAGCCTGCAGACGCATACTTGGAGCTGTGCTGTGTCTATAGGAACAGTTGCTAATCTCTTTCGTGACAGGTGTTTATACTGTTCTCATCCTGCAACCCATTGGTCTCATATTGTTAAAACACACTGGGACCAGTGCGTTCCCTGAAAGGCAAACACTGTGAGTTTCAGCCTGAAAATTCAGTAGTCCCCATGGACTTCCGTGGATTTCTTGGGATGAGATACATCCAGGGTGAGGGTCAGATGCATAGAGGTGTTTGCGCATGTCTGTGACCTAGAGTCTGTATGATTTAAATGCTTTCTCTCTTCCAACAGGTACAAGTCAAATGAGGATTATGTCTATGTCAGAGGTCGTGGCCGAGGAAAGTACATTTGTGAAGAATGTGGAATTCGCTGCAAAAAGCCAAGCATGCTCAAAAAACATATCCGCACTCATACTGATGTCCGGCCTTATGTATGCAAGCTGTGCAATTTTGCCTTCAAAACTAAAGGTACTTGACACTTTTTGCTGAACTCTTGCCACTTCCCAAACAAATCTTGACTTGCTTTGCCATCTGGGATCCAAGCACCCTTTGCAGTCAAGGAGAGAATTTTCTTCAGAATAAAGTTACTGTGTTTGTGTATACAGGACTTCATGAGAGAGGTTTTTCTCTCCTGTTTAATTGATCCAGGGATTTTGTGAGACTCCAAGACTCCTCGGATGGCTTTATTAAGAGCTATAGGCTCTTGGCTGGTCCATCTGTCTGCCGACAAAATGTAGTAGCATAAGAACTGCCCTTACAAATAATACTTTCTGCCAAAACTGTTACATGGTGCAAATTTTAATTGCAGCAACACTTAAATGCTACCAGTAGAGTACACTTGTTATGACATAATGTGGAAGCAGAGCATCAGCTGCTGAGGAATACATGCCTTCACGCGCTTTGCAGTGGGTCAGTTTCAAGTTTATAAATAATGTATGTCTCCCAGATGGGCCACTCCATCCACTGTGGCATTAATTATGAATAGAGATCTGATAGCTTGTGTTCACATGTATTTATCAGCACAGAAGAAAACTTCCATTTGTCACCCTGAGGCCACAGATAATGCTGTTCTTTGGAATTAGGATTTGCCTTGCAACTGTCTCCTTAAAAGAAAAAAATTCTTTTCTTTTGTAGCATTTCTTTGTAGCACAGCCCAAATGAGCCTCACATTCTAAGTCTCTTAGCTTCCCTGTGCAGACAAGGGAAATGGATTTTAGTCCCAGTGCAGTGAAGTTGCTTGAAGGGGAAGAGAGGAAGCTAAAGGAAATTTCTCCCAAGATCCCAGTGCAGTTTCATGGCTGTTTTGAGGATTGAGAATTGTAATAGTTTCCATGACTGCAGCGTTTCTTCCTCTGCCAAAGATGGGAATAGCTGATGGATGGCAGTAGACCCATCAACCTAATTTAGGATGAGAACTTTCATGGGGGTGTAGAGACAAAGACAAGGAGCTGCTCGTTTGTAGTCCCAGTAGACCATCTGGAGAGCTGTTCTGGGATCACTGTTTACATTTGACACTGCTGGAGGAATGGATCTTGAGGAGGAACTTGAAGGAAGATTGTAGTTTTGCAGCTGTGTTCAGAGAGGACATTCCAGGCAGAAGAGATGGCATGGAAAGAAATGTGAAATTGCTTGCTGAGACTGGCATTTCTGGCAGAGAAGAAGAAACAGGGAGGAGGTGGTATGCTGTTGCACAAAAAAAGCATGAGTAGGAAGAGACTAAGTTAGCCCATGAAGTACAAGAAGGGTTTAACTGGTGTATAACTGCTTATGAGCAGTTGTCAGTCTCGTTACTATTGTTGGTATTTTGCTGAGAGCAGTAGGGGTCAGACCTTCAGAGGTACGTAGGTTTTCAGTGTATGCCTCAAGCGTTTAGCCATCCAGAGGCGTCAGGGGCCAAGTTAGAATTTTCACACAGTGCTCAGGCACAGTAAGAAACTCTTACTGAGAAGGGGATTATTGGAACTAGCCGGGACTGAAAGTCAGAGGAGAGGATCCTGGCTTGTGAGCTTCTAAGCACACTTCCACTATCCGACAGAGTGGTGCAGTGTTCCCATCCTCAGGTTGGATGTGCCACATACACCATCTGGAGATGCTGGCTGGGGTCCCAAAAGCAGCATAGGTACATTCACAAGGTGCTTTCCTTGAGCTAAGAAGTCCCATGTCTTGGTAGTGGGTTGGGTTTGCTTGTGCCATGCTTTCCCCATTGGCTGTTGCAAATGTGACTGAAGTGACTAATGAATTAGAGTGATATTCTTGTTTCTCCAGGTCATGCTATGTGCTCAAGATTCTTTGCCATGAAATGTCTCTTGAGGCCAGTCTCAACCCAATTTTCTTATCTGTGGAAAAGCAGACCGAGGCAGGCACTCCAAAAAGTCAATAGTCTAGTGTTAGATTGCTCACTCAGGGGAATGGGAGATCTGATTTCAAATCCCTGCGGTGTCTGGCTCAGATCTGTACTCCAGAGCAGGGAGCTGAACCTGGATTTTCCACATCCCAGGTGAAGGCTGTAAGTACAACTCCTCCCAGTTCAGAGATTGCAGCTAGATGGTAAACTTGCATAGAAGTCTCCCATAAACATCTTTTTGTGGGGTACTTTCGCTTCAAAATGCTTTGAACACGCTAAACATTTGGAGCCTATGTGTGAAGTAAATGGGAGAACCCTTAGCTTGACAGTACCGCTGTGAAACTCAGAGCGTGAGCCCTGAACAGCTGGTGTGCATTGGACTGACTTTGATGTCTGGGCAGTCTTTACGCATCACAAACACAGAACCCAGGGATAGATAACATCCAAAAGTGAGATTTTTATCTTGCTGGGATGCCTGAATGTCATGTGGAAAATTGGAGAGATGCCTATACACCTCTCAGGCCCTGAGTTTAAGTTTATTTGAAAGACTACGGGTTTTTTGGAAGATAGAAAAAACCACTTTTATTAAAACAGGCTCTGAGGGCAACGGGCTGGACGAGTCAGGCCTGTCTGTTGTGGGTTTTTTTTAAACTAAAACCGCCCCATCTGCAGGATAACGGAATTAAGATACACCAAAACCTGACTTGAAGAGTGATCTTTGCTGTTGTCCGCTAATTAGATTAATCTCTGATCCATAGGAAATCTGACAAAACATATGAAGTCTAAAGCACACATGAAAAAATGCCTGGAGCTTGGAGTATCAATGACATCCGTAGATGATGCTGAAACTGAAGAAGCAGGTATGTCAGAATGATTTAGTTTAGTTGGAATGGCCTCTGGAGTATGCAAATGACTCATTGCACTTTAGCACAGTGTTTGGCATGGGAAAATATACTAAGAGTATTTGGGGCATTTTTTAATTAAGAGACATCGTTTTAGTAAACAGGAAGTATAAAAAATGAATGTGATCCGTTTGTCTGAGTTACCTTTTTTTTATTAAGATACATGAGGGGGAGCTAGAAATAAAAGTATGACCTGTGTCATACAAAGTTCCCCATCTTTTCAATTTAGATGTGAGAGATGGCAACATTTAGCAAAATTTCAAGCTGGGGTCGGGTGAATTTGCTTTTTATACTTCCTTTCAAGTGCAGAGTTTTATGGTATTATTATAAAAAATGATGGTTTGAGAGTATGAAGAGTGGCTTAATGCAGCCATCCTGGATGAGGAGCATCCAGCGATGCAATGGGTGTACTGGGTGGGGAATGAATGTGGCGGAAGGTGTGAGAGGTGGGGGGTGTGCTCACCCTTCTGACTTGCCGTGGCTGTTTCAGAAAACATGGAGGACATGCAGCAGGAGGCAGAGAAGAGCAGCAACCTGGCTGGCCTGTCAGCGGAGCACCAGTTTTCCGATGCGGAGGAGTCGGATGGCGAGGATGGTGACGACAATGATGATGACGATGAAGATGAGGATGATTTTGATGATACTCAGGGAGACTCGACGCCAAAAACCAGATCAAGAAGCACCAGCCCGCAGCCCCCTCGGTTCTCCTCCCTGTCAGTGAACTCGGCTGGGGCGTCACAGGGGGCTTCTCCCGAGGGCTCCCTTTCCGTGGGACACTCCTCCCTCATCAGTTACTTGGTCACCTTACCTAGCATTCAGGTTACTCAGCTTGTAACGCCAAGCGACTCCTGTGAAGACTCACAAATGACAGAATATCAGAGGTTTTTCCAGAGCAAGAGTACGGATTCAGAGCCCGATAAAGACAGGTTAGATATACCAAGCTGCATGGATGAGGATTACGTGCTTTCATTAGACCCCAGTTCGTCTCCAAGGGACCTCTCACCTTCCAGTCGACAGTCGTCACCCGGCTACGATTCTTCACCCTATAGAGATAACTCACCAAAGAGGTATTTAATGCCAAAAGGGGATTTGTCACCCAGGAGGCATCTGTCACCCCGAAGAGATATTTCACCCATGAGGCACCTTTCCCCGCGGAAGGAGGCTGTGCTGAGGAGAGAGTTATCGCCAAGACGGGACATGTCACCAAGACGTCACCTATCGCCAAGGAGACCAATGTCACCGGGAAAAGATGTGTCTGTTCGAAGAGATTTGTCTCCTAGGCGAGAGAGGAGATATATAGCCTCCATTAGAGCAGCATCTCCCCGGAGGGGCTTATACCACAATCCAGCGTTGTCCATGGGTCAATATTTACAGTCTGAATCTGTTCCAGTGGGGAATTCAGTAAGTAAGAAAGAATATTTTCATTCCTGTTGTCAAAACCAATGCTCTTACCTGATCTGTGCGTATTATTTTAAATAACTTTGAAGCTTTGTAGAAGAAGAAGGCATAAGCTTTGAGCTTCATCAGGAAGTCTTGGAATGAACACAAGAAATTTGGAATAGACAGGGACCAGGTTGAGATGTTGATTCAAGTAGGTGCCACAGAGTCAGTGTGAGGGTCACTTGGTACAAGCCTGAGTAGCTCCATTAACTTCACTGAAATTAAGCTGGATTACATTAACTACCTCTGTCTTTATTTTAAAACGGCCCAGGAGGCTTACATGGCATGTGGGGCTTGTTACAGTCCTGTAAAACCTTTTACCTCCCAGACTGTCAGTTGGGACTCAGCCCAGATCAAGGCTGGAGGCCCTGGTACTGCAGTGTGGTGCCCATCGCAGATGTATGGTTTAATGCAATAGAAACACTAAAATAAATGGAACCTCTCAGAAAAGCAGGGTGCACATGGAAATCAGGATGTGTGGCTGGAGTTTAAAGGACATTGTAGTGTGACAGGAGCAGGCAGCTGTCTGTCCCGCGGAAAGTGCCATCATGACTGGCTGTTTCGACAGGGACACAACCGTCTGGGTGGAAATGGAAATATGCAAAACTTGCACAGCTGCTGTCTGTGCTGTTCCCTTTTGGTAAATCAGCCCTCAGAAACTGCCGACTTAGCGTTTTTGACAGGACCTACTATTCACAAAGCACTCTTCCCACAAATAAATTCGGTCTTTAGAGTTAAGGGACGGCCTCACTATGTCTGCAGTTATTTATTTACCTTTTACACTTCCCTCACCATGTTTGAAGTTGCTGCTGCCCTCTCACTGCCTGCTTTGTCAGCCTGTGTGTGTGGGTTCAACCTGGGCAAGCTGTGTCAGGCTCCTGCTGCCCAAGGGCTTCTGCCCGCTCCCTGGCCGGGCTCTCCTTCCCGCTTCCTCATTGTCTGTCTGCTTGGCTTTTTGTGTAATCTTTGCATTTCTTCTCTGTAGAGGAGAAGAATTTAATCCTGAGCTCGTAAAATCAGCACTTCCAGAGCTCTGGGGTGAATTTCATTGTGGAGCCAGGCTGATGTGTTACCTGCACCTGGGAATGGAGCGAGGGATGCACCTGCGTAAAGGTGGCTGGAGTAGGGATGGACCGAACAAGTCCAAGGTGCCACCAGCCTGGCAGATCCAAAAGTGGCTTCCTAGATTTTCAGGAAGAAAGCTGCAATGTGCGTGGCCATGTGTGTAGGAGAGAGCAGCACACTTCTCCCTCACCTTAGGCACGGCCCCGTGGCCTGGCAAGTTGTTGGGGAGAGCAGCGGAGCAGGATGGCTGACATGGCTGACACGCTAAAACCCTGCTGCATTCTCATAGGGGTGGTCAGTGCGAAGCTGAGAGAGGATACAAATCCAGCCAGCAGTCCTGTGGATGATGTAAGGAAGCACAAGAAGAGGATAAAGAGCCACCAGTTTGTCATGATGTCTTAGTATCAAATGGGAGGGATTATATGAGACACTACAGCTGACATTGTGCAGGGATCCCTAGTCCTTCATGTCCTGCATGAGAAACTTCCACTGGCATCCTGTAGCAGAGATTTTGGATGTGTGATGATGCTGGCAACAGGGTATGTAACAGTCACCCTTGGCCATCTGACAGTTCTCGCTGTAATGTTTGCCTTGTGTGTTATGCACACCTTCCAGCAAGGCGTTTAGCACATTGTAAGGACTCTTTTAACACCCTTAGCTCCTTCTATTGGAAAGTCCACCGTGCCAGATGGGCTTTTAACACTTACCTTATTTCTGAGGTAGGATCAGGCAGGTGGCAGTGGAAAACCCAATGTAAAAGATCATTTGTCCTACAGAAAGCATCGGTAACTCAGTGGCATGTTGAGTGTTTCGAGAGAGAAGCCTAGACCTCAGTACCGTGACTGGAACCTGAATGCAGGCATCGCTGGAAGCAGAGCCCAGGCAAATTTAAATGAGGAAATGACAAGTGAGGGTGATAGCCCATCTCAGCAAATGACTGCAAGGAAGGATGGATGGATTCCTCACCTCTCTCTGCCTCTCTGGAAGACGTACTTTAGCCAAGCGGTAGTTGAGTTTAGGTGAAACACAAGTTATTATATCAGTGTGGGGGAAGACAAGGGCCTAAGGCTCTGGTTGATGCTGGTGCACATTTGGCTTTGTCAAGTTAAATGTCTACCTTTAAATTTAAAGGCAGATCCCCATTGCTCTCTAAATACATTTGGGATCTTCTCTTCTGTCAATGCCAAAGGTCTTTTCTGAGGAGCCTTGTGCCATTATCGAAGGGCTCTGATTGTCCTCCACAGTCATTTTATGCCAGTCCTGAGAGAAAGAGGAGAGATGGGAAGCCTGCTTTCGTTCACCTTGAGTGCATGTCTGTTAGCAGTTTAGTTTGTTTTCACATTTATTGTGCTTTGACTCAAATGGCAGAGCAGTCTTGGAGGAAGTTACCCGGATTGTTTTCAGATGAAGCAGAACTGAAAAATGTGCTCCAGGAGTGCAGCAGGCGCACTTCAACTGTGAGTGGGCACTGAAGTGAGCGAGAAGAGGCCACACAGGGTTAGTCTGAAGCAATCTTCCCCTCCAACCCCACAACATGTATTGTGCACATGGGATCCAGTACCAACAGTTTCACTCTTCTGCTTGTCCTCACTCCTAGTGAATCTCGCCACTTCCTAGTGTCGGGCAGGGCTTCTGCCTCTTCTTCCAGTCCCAGGGCCAGACACAATGAGATCATGAATATGTCTTGCTGTGAACAGTGCAAACTGTTTCAGCTTCTAGGAGGCAGTGGATTTTGCTTGTGTTGCTGTTTTGTTGCAGCTCTCATTCATTTTGAAGTCCAAAGCCTGTCCTGATATATTCAGAAGGCCTGAAGGGAGTTAAGCACCTCAGTGTCCACCTGAAATTTTACAGGTCCTTTGATCATCCCAGACACAGGGATATTAAATCCCTTCCCAAGCACTCAATACTTTATCATCTTGAGGGAAATGCATTCCTGTACAGAGAGCCAGCATAAAACTTCTGAAGTCCAGGTGAGCTGTAGATAGGTGCACTGGTGTATGTGGGCTGCTGCAGCGCATTCTCAGTAGGACTGCAAGTTGAGCTGGTCCTGAGACTGAAGCCCACACAGATTTACAGTCACTTTTAGAAAACACATCAGTAATACCCTCGGTTACTGAATTTCATAATAGAGTTCAACATTTTCTTGTTTTTAACTTTAAAAAGCCTCAAGTACATTACAATATGGTAATCAAAGAGGTTTACCAACTGCCATCTTTCTGCAAGCTGTGGTCTGAGGCTGCCGGGAGGATGTCTGTGAAAGGTACTTGGCTTTGAAGTGCATTATTCCTCTTAATCCCCCATAGCCTGTTTTGGGTGATGTACCAGATACAGGGTAAGCCCTATCTCGTCCCTGCAGAATTGTGGGGAACCTGTGAAGCTGGATATGGCTTTACTCAGGGGCATGGCACAGCAGTCCAGCTTTATGACCAGGTCAGAGAGTTTAGTGAAAAGCTCCTACAGAATATTGTTCCTTGGGAAATTATATGTCAGCTGCAGCTGGAGGGAAATATGCTAAACTGCCACAAATGAGAATCGATAGGAAGTGCGCTGGATTCCCATCACCTGACAAAGAAAGGAGCTCGTCTCACTGTACTGCTAGCAACCCATTCTGACTGCACAGCAGAAAGACACTGTGACTTTCTGCACTGTGCTCAGATCTAATACTTGCCCTGTCAACAGAATCAAGCCTTTGGATTTTCAGGCTGTTTGTTAAAAGAAGACAGCTTCTCTAATAATTATTCAGTCTTTTCCCCATGAATATGTATATGTGCATCTGCTTGTAGGTATGGAAATGCTAGATATTGGGAAAGGAAATAAAAACAGGGTAAGAGGGATGAACAGTTATTAATGCCCATAACCATCTATGTTGGCCATTTCCAAACTTGTCTGTCAGAGCTAGAGAAAGATAATCTGATATGTGCTCGGCCAGGGTTGGAATGCATCCAGTGGACATGCACACACTGTCACTGTCTATGTAGAAATGACACTTAGGAGACATACGCTGGATGATGATGCTGATCTTGAAGCGTGTAGCAGTTTCTATCATGTTGGCCACCTCTGTCCAACAAGGACAGGCGATTGCTCTATTCCCTTTTGAAACTGTGGCAGGGTACACCATGAAGCCAGCGTCTCTCTCAATTAGAGATTTGTGTGTGACTAGGTTTGGTTTTCACTGAGTTTTACTCCTCTTTGTGGTTGCTTGTGCTCTGTTTCCCTTAATGCAAGTTCACGTAAGATGCATTAGTGATAAATGTCATGACTTAGGAAACGACCAAGAGAACAGTATGACTGAGAAACGAGTTGACAGACCAAAGATAGAAAAATAAAAGGGGGCAAGCAGCTGTGCAGAGGTGAGGTTTGCCATAGGAAGGGCTGACAGGGTAGGTGAACTATGTCTTGTGGCTTGGCAACTGCAATTTATTCCGTAGGTTTTTCCCCATTCAGCAGTATAACGTGCTGTCACTGTGCTTTCTTATGACAGTTTCTCTTTTATGAGACTCGAGTGTCTCACTTTCTGAATAGGAAAATTCCCAACGTAGATTAATCTCTGAATAATAACATCTCTTAAGTTTGAGTCTGATGTTTATGGGTCACCCTTGCTGTCTCAACGTTGATTTATATCGAACAGGACATCGCATCTGAGCACAGTGAGACTGAGCCTCTGGGTAGCACAGAAACTGAATCTTTAATTGGCCCCTAAACCAGTTCCCAGAGATGGGATCAAGAGGGTGCGTAATGCCTCGAGAGCTAGGATTTCCCAGCAGTGAAGTGCTGCCACTTTAATGCATTGGCATTTAGCAGCACAGTCCTCGGGCTGCCACACCAAGACTGTGGTAGGGGCACAGCTCGGGGGTGATCGATAGGTGTTTGGTCAATTTGCAGAGCAGAGATGAGCATTTTCATTCATTTAATTTCCGATGGGACTCCCCGAGAGTGGTGTGGCCAAATCCCACACACAGTTATGAAAATGTCATCCTGCACTTCTGTCATTGTTATTCCTCTGGTCAGCAATAAATGATACTTAATCATCAGATGGAAAACAAGTTTTAAAAGTTAAGAATGAAAAAGAAAAGAGAAACCTAAAAGCCCAGGGCATATTTAATACTGAGGCATATTTAGTACTGAGTGGAGATGGAGCTATTCATTCTTCCAAGTCAGGAACTAATGGGAAGGCACTGAATACGTCAATATTGTGAGATTGGTTTTTATTAGCTGTTACAAAATCCCTCATTCTTCTCAATCCCATAATGAGCGGGTGAGTCTCCCTGACACAGAATCATCACTTTCACTCACAGCTAATGCCTGTGCTTCTGTTGTTATTTATTGTTTACACTACAGATAGGCCAGAGTAGTGCTCCATTGTCTTACTGACTTTAAAAATTTGGGTCTTCATTGTACAGAGTCACTTGAGCTTCCGTGGTGATACCCGTCCCCTTTCATCAGGGGTTGGGTGAAGCTCGCGGTGGTGGCTAGGAGGAGCAAGTGCCTTCTCTGGGACTTCACTGCAGGATCTTTCAGCAGGCAGAAAAACCCTACATGCAGTCAGGTATTTCCCGTGCTGCCAAGTAGAGGTGGCGAGCAGGGAGCATTTGGACGTGTATGTCTGCAACAAAGTCTTGATACCCGGCGCAGACTGCCAATACCTGCACAGTTTGCCGAAAGAGAGGGTAGGATGGTTCTCCTGGCCAAATTACTCCTGTGAAATGAAACTCTATCTAACCCAAATTCTCTCTGCAGTTTCAGTTGAATATAATACTCTTCACTTCCTGACCTAAATTGCTGCATCGCGTTGCTGAACGCTCTTAACTAACTGCTGCCTTTCACCTCAGGGGCACGAGCCCCGCTGGGCTGAGCTAAGCAGAACCTCCTATGTTGTTTGGATAAGCAATTAGTGGAGTTTTCCAAATGCTTTGGGATCCATCTGGGATGAAAGGTGCTGTGTGAACAGGAGGTTGTGCTAGACAGGAAAGCAGATAGGTGGTTTGGCAGCTGGACAAGAATTTTGGAAGTAGCGGCACTGACATTTCTTGTTTTTTTGGTTACAGAGAAGGGGATTGTCTCAGGGGCCTTACTTCAACGTATATGGAGAAAAAGGAGGTATGGAGCCTAGCCCGTTCCCCGAAGGTCCGAGCGACTACGTCTTCAGTCATCTTCCACTACACTCCCAGCAACAGATCCGAGCACCCATCCCCATGATGCCTATTGGGGGTATCCAGATGGTCCATTCAGTGCCGGTGGCCCTTTCAGGTTTACATTCTCCGTCCGCTCTGGCCCTGCAGAGAGAGGGCTCTGAGGAGAAGCAAAGAGGAACTGCGGAAATCCTTACGAAAGAATCGTATAGTATTTCTAAGCACCACGAGAAACGTACCTCTCCGCACAGCTTGCACCCCTCCACTCCCTCCAGCGCGCCCTCCTCTCCGTTGCTGCTGCTGGCGCAGAGCACGTCGGAGGAGAGTGTCGTAGCTACCGAGAGGGAGCAGGAGGAGAACATACAGACTTGTACAAAAGCCATAGCCTCTCTGCGAATCGCCACAGAAGAAGCCGTTCTGCACGGGGCAGAGCAGCTGCAGAGGCCTTCTGAGCCTCACCAGAAACCCTTAGAAAGTGCACATTTTAGCATTAAACACTTTAGTGGATCTGAGGCGGGCCCGGCCTGCGCCTCAGCCACCCCTCCTGACTTGCACGGTGGTGAACAGGACAGTTTTGGTACATCGCAGACTGCGTTAGCCCATCCCACCTTTTACAGCCAGAGCTTTGTGGACGTCCGGCAGTTGGGCTTTCACGGCAGGAGCGACCCCCTGTCAAGCACACAGGAAAGAAAAGATCCGTCATCTGAGAAGAGCAAGCCACATTGATCTGAGATGCATGGAGACTTTCCCCCTCACATTTACCCCACCTTTTTTTTTTTTTCTAGAGATAGAAGAAGTATTCAACTTTATAGCATGCCTGTTCTAAGTTACAGTAGTTTGCTATTATATATACTTTTGTTATATCAAAGGAATTAGATAAAAATAACAAGTCATCATGAGCCTGACCAAAACTAAATTTGAAATTCTTATTGGGTCTGGTACTTTTAAATTGTACAGATGTTTGTGCCTTTTCTTTACTTTGCTTATATTCTTATAAGCATTTTTTTAGCAGTAATTTGTACATATTTTAGAATTTGTGTATCTGCTTTGTAATAAATGTAATTTCTTTCCTTTTTTGGACACTTGGATCTAAATGATGTAAAGCAAAACAGCATCAATATATGTGAGGTTGCACTAAAACATATTTTTATATGATTAAAACTGAACAGCTTTTATGTACAGCTCTGATTCTGTAATACTAATATTTATTTACTTTGTTTCATAAATTGTAAATTTTTTTCTTAATGTTGTGGATTGCTTTTCTATGTGAAGCATGGGATTTACTGTTGCGTAATTAGAACAAAATGTATATTGTAAAACAAGATATTTAAACTAGAGTATCTTATCTTATTCTGCACTTATGCATTAGTTAAAAAAAAAAAAAGATAAAGGATGTATCAGTCAGTTCTTAACTCTTGTAATTTTTTTTTGTCTCGTTTGCCCGATTGACTATAACTTAAGTGCTGATTGTGATTTTAAACTGATAGTACCGTAAAGCATTAAAGTAAAACAATGTGCTATTGTGAGTTTTTTCAAAGCTTTATAAAACAGTTATAAATATATTAAAAGTATTTGGTCTTATGTGGACATGTTGATCTATATACTCCTTTACAAAGCTATGGGAATACATTCCACCCCATGTAAATATGTACAAGTGCATGGCCGGTGCCGTCCGTGCCGCTCACGGGGAGAGGCGAGGTTGGCTGTGCTGCCAGGCGCAGAGCCGGGGCA